GTGGTAGCCTTAGCTGATCGACGGACACTGGTCGATAAAACGTTGTTCAAACGTAGATCGACAATCAATCGTTGTGGTTGTGGGATCATCATCATTATCTTTCAAAATGTATTCAGAAGAGGACGCGTTATTGTTTTCCAGTACGCTCTTGCTAGTATTATTATTACAAAGACGCAAACGCAGAAGACTCTGGATGAGACTAAAAGCTAGACCTAAAAAAAGTTGAAGGTTTTAAATTCGTCTAGAGACGACATTTTAAATAGCGATCGGTGGAGTGGGGCGGGTTCTCGAATACAAGCAGCTCGATCGACGTCGACTTATCCATTCTGCCATCGATCGATAGGTTAGTGTGGTAACATCCTAAGATCTTTGGCTTAAGTAGTGATCAATGAATTATTGATATATTTAGACATTTTTTTTATTTAAATAACTAATTTGCTGTTGACTAGAGGGCTTCTGCGACATCTTTGCAAACATCGTTCAACTCTGCTCGTTAAGATGTTTCCGAATGTAAATTAAGCAGATTCGCAAGAAAGCATGGCCACCAGTAAAGAGAGTTTATCGGAGCTGCTATACATTTATTCTGAGATCGCAATGTACTGTACCTAAAGCTTAATTCAACTTCACTTGTTTTAATTTACATATCAATTAATGTGCAATGAAAAATAAACTCTTTGTGAATTAAATAATGTTTTATTTACATTGGTCCATATTCATTTTTCTGCTTTTTAATACTGTAATATCAAATCGATTGCCTAATTTTAATGTTTATTATTACACTTTACATTAGAAAAAATAAAACCCAAAGAAAAAATTAAAATTAAATGACATTCCTTAAATATATAATTTATTTCAATTTAAAATTACAAGTCGAACCAAACCTATTACATTTTAAACTGACCAGTTTAACAAAACAATAATTTCATAGGTAAAGAGCTGATGATACATCATTAAAGGTACCTATATCGTACACTTATAAAAATTATTTTAACAAATTGTTCTTGAATTATGTTCATATAAATACCAGAGCGATATTTACTTTGTTGAGTTTACAAACTAATCGCCTCAAACTCATTACAAAAATGGTCATCAGTGAGACTTACAGATGAGATGATTTCAACAAAAGCAATTTGTGTGCTGCATGATAAATATCAAACAGGATTTATCTGTTTATATATTTTTATAACGTTTCAGTCATATATTTACAAATTTTAACAAAACAACAAATCATGTCGTAATAATTACCTTAAAATTTCTCCTGTAAGAAAAACAAAAAAAAAAACATTTTTATAAATTATAAAAACGATTAATATAAATAATAAAACAGCGCTCTTGATAATAATGATACCTTATTACCATAATTTCTATAAGTTTTGAACATAACATAATATAGATATAGAAAAATAATATGTTAACCGAACAAAAATAATGGTGGCTTATCATCATATTTTGTTACCAATGATAGAGCTGATACTTATTTCTGAGATAACTACTTCCCCATTATATTGTTTATTGTAGATAATATTGCTATATTATGTGCGCAAAATTTATATCAAAATGGAATAAAAATAGCTGATCTTTTGGGCGTCTTCAAATCAAAATATTAATTTAAGCAAATCTAATGCTACAATATTGTGACAGTTTAAGTACGATATTTTATTGTAAAGAATGCGGATTAAGAATGGGTGAGTTAACCGTCAAATGCCTTTTGTACGCCGATGAACAAGTTATTCTTGCGTCGTCGGCGGCCGAGTTGCAAATGATGGTTACATTAATGAACGGATCATTAAAATAAAAAAGGGGTATGAAAGTGAACGCAAGTAAGACGAAAGTTATGGTTTTTGAAAGAGAAGAAAGTAAGACGATATGTGAAATAAGAATAGAAGGGGAGTTGATCGAGCAAGTAGATGAGTTTCTAAATCTGGGTTGCGTATTTAGCAGGGATGGGAGATGTGATAAGGATATAGAACGACGGTGAATGCAGGAAATAGAGTAAATGGGGCCCTACACTCTATTGTGAAGAGTCAACATGTGTCGAAAAAGGTGCGTATGGCAATTTACAATGCTGTGTTGGTCCCTACTTTAACGTATGGTAGTGAAAGTTGGGTGTGGCAGAAGAAGCACGAGAGTAGAATGAACGCAATAGAAATGCGGTCGTTAAGGACTATGTTAGGGCTGAATCTGAATGACAGGGTAAGAAATTGTGTGATAAGTGAAGAGTGTGGTTTGCAAGATGATGTTATGACCAGGATTAAGAAAGGAATGCTTCGGTGGTGAAAATAATGAATGAGGAAAGAGTGACAAAGAAATTTTATGTTGCAGAAGTAAATGGCAGAGTCGGAATGGAACGTCCTAGGCGAAAATTTATCGACCAAATTGGCGATTTATTGAAAACGGGCCAAATTAGAATACCCTTAACCGACGAGCATGTATGCGTAGGATGTGAAGGAGGCGAGAGAGGTGTGTCAGGATCGTGCCAAATGGAAGTCTGTAGTCTCTGCCTACCCCTCTGGGTGACAGGCGTGAGTGTTTATGTATGTATAGATGTTGAAAATATAATCATCTAAAATTTTGTTAGACAGTCCATTTTATACAACTCTCAGGAAGATTATATAATTCGTCCATTAAAAACTGCGCCATCCATTTATTAACGACTGTCTGATTTTGTATCGAAGCGATTATCGTTTTGTATGCCGTGTTCGTTTCGATTTTTAACAATTTGTTATCAAAAAAAGTCAAAATAAAAACAATGGCGCTCAGCAGTGCCGACGTACAGGACCAAACGACATTGTTTGTCTTTTGTCACCGGACGAGTTTTACAATTCGCTTTTCATATTTACATACATACAAATTTTCAAAAAAAAATGAAGCTTCCTTTACTATGGTAACTTTTATTGCAAACGCTAGAATGTCCCAAATTGAGATTTCAACAACAAACAATTTAACAAACAAAAATAAAGGAGTAATCTAAATAAACAAAATATAAACTAATTATGTGAGTAAAACGTAAACAATTATATAGAACAGTGACTAAAGTTATAGTAAAGCAATGCGCACAAACTAATAACTGAACAACTATTGCAATCGGAACAAAAGTTAGGATGCATAATAAATAATTTATATTTAATTTCGATTTATTTTATTTTGGAAAAATTATATATTGGGTTTTAAATATTAGGTATCAACGTCAACATAATTATAATCAATATCGTTTATTTAAATAGTTAAATTACTATAACAAAAATTTTAAGAACAGAAAGTTATATTCCGTTTTCAATAACTAGTTAATTTAATACGGCATACCGCGTCTGGTAGCACTAAATATCACACGAATATAATATCACGACTTACTACATTACACGAGGTAAGTGTTATTAACACGATAGTTACAAATATATTCGAATACTTTAAGCGTTAGTCTAAATTGATTAGCTCAGTCTTCAAGCTAAGCTTCCTATCATACAGCACTGGCGCTTGTTGACACATGATTTTTTTTATTTCCAAAGAAGGACCATGATATCTTTAAAAATGTGTCAACAAAAATAAATGCAAATAAAATGCGAAGTTCTGAAATACTTTTCAGTGTAATATAAAAAATAGTATAAGTAACATTTTATGACGTTAAATACAAAACCTTACAAAATTGAAAGGTGGCCTATGCAAAAATAACAACAAAAAAGTGCTTTGAAAATTACAAACAAAATAGCTTTTAAATTTAATAAGCCCTTCGAAAATCATCTCTTCACGACATATGGACGATGACTATCACGTCAACCGATATCGATAATCATATTATTTTTTAGGTCTTTGAGGTCGGTTTCAAAAGTTATATTATCTATTACTACTCACATAAAATGTTACTTATCAAGAAATCCTACACCAGGATATTACAATAATTTTAGTGATGTACCAATGAAATACTATAAGTGTTTCAAGCCTATCACAATCCCACGGCTCAACGTTAGCCTTTCACACAGACCGCCACGCAGTTCTGTCTGACTCTGCATACAGATTTTGTTAAAAATTTATTCCCTTTTAATTTTTTTTATTCAATCACGAAATTTTTAATTTTCGTAAATTTTATTTTACAAAATTTTTAATCAAATAAAAGTACAAACTTGTACATCTGACTATAGACAGAATAAATATGTACATAACAATTTCCTTGTAAAATTGATATTTTTTTCTAATTTTTACGAATCACTATTTCGGAATTAACGATTATTTCTTCTATTGAAAATTTTAACAATTACAATTTTAAAAGAAATCAGTACTTTTTGATACTAATTTATTATATTTCTTGTAAAAAAATTAAAATAAACATATTTAAACACTTGTGGCGTTAATGTGCAAGTTGTAAAAAGCGTGTAAAAATTATTTTACCGTAAAGTGGGGATATTTGGAAATCGTGGGTATATTTGGTATTTTTTATTTTTAAGATTGCGATCCAAATATTTTTTGATATGGCAATGGTAGAAAAGAGATCTTCAATTCTGGCAACATTATTCTGAAAAGTTACGCCACGCTGCCATAAGAACTGTGTCTACAAGGATTATTTTAATAAAACCGTGAAAAAACAGCAAAAACTTCATTGTTGAACTTTCGGACGGTGCTTTGAAGATTTCAAAGTAAGTAAAAAACTATTTTCTACAAAGAAAAGAGCGATATCTCGGCATTCCAAAACCCTCCTAATCATCATCGCATGTGTTACCTGTCCGCCATGTTGATCGAATATTCTCATGAAGATATTTGGAACAGCAATTTAGGATATTTGGTACCGTAGTACCAAATATCCCCTTATACGCAATGATGGTGTTATTTGGACCAACTATACCAAATATACCCACAAGTAATGTGATCCCATGTATGCATTACTGGTGTTATTTGGAACGATAATACCAATTATACTCACAAGTAATGTGATGTTTATTAAGGGTAAGATGTTCGAATCCTTTGTATTTCGGATTATTTTAATTTAGACTTTTTTGATTTTGTTGCAGGAATATGCATCAAAATGCCACGAATATATATTAGAAAATTCAGGAATACTAGGAATGGAAAGCCCTTCCTACCTTACACTAATTACAGCTCTGAAAATTTACAGAAAGCAATTCGAGACGAAAAAAGTAAGACTAACACTAGGAGAAGCATCATCTAAATATCACATACCTAAAACAACGTTATCGAGAAAATGTAGAAACCTTAATTGCTCACAAGAAAAAGCAGGACGTCCTACACTTTTTTCACCTGAAGAAGAGAAAGCATTCATTAAACACATTGTAAATTTGGCAGACTGGGGATACCCATTCGATCTTATTGATCTTCGTATTTTCGCGCAAAGGTACTTAAATAAACTCGGAAAAACAATATACGGAGTACCCGAAAATTTGCCTGGTTCAGAATGGGCTCGAAACTTTTTAAGGCGTCATAAAGATTTGCTTTGGAACCGTATGACTTCCAATATATCTACCGATAGAGCAAAGGTATCAGCATCGACGATAGACTCATTTTTTGAGTACTTTGCACCAACAATCGGTGGTGTAACACCTGACCGAATCATAAACTATGATGAGACTAATTTAACTGACGACCCAGGAAACAAAAAATACATTTATAAACGTGGTGTAAAATACACAGAACGGGTAACAAATACATCGAAAACGGCTTTTTCCCTCATGTTTGCTGCTACAGCCGAAGGTCAGTTATTACCGGTTTACGTGGTGTACAAAGCAGAACACCTATGGGATACCTGGTTAGAAGGAGATCCTCCAGACGCAATATACAATCGCTTTAAAAGTGGATGGTTCGACTCGGTTTGTTTCGAGAATTGGTTTGAAAAAGTGTTCGTTCCATACGCTAAAAAAAGCCTGGACGTAAAATTGTCATAGGTGACAATCTCTCATCACACTTTTCTGAAAACGTATTAAAAAAGTGTGAAAAGCTAAACATTTCATTTGTGTGCTTGCCCCCCAAATCAACGCACCTTCTGCAGCCGTTAGACGTTGCTCTGTATGGACCTTTAAAAGATTATTGGCGAACTATATTGACGGAAAAAAGTAGAAGCGCAAACATAAAACCCTAGTAAAAGATATTTTTCCGAAACTGCTGGCCAAATTTATGAACAAACTTATGGAAAACAACACAAGGGGAAAAAACGTCATTGCAGGTTTTAACAAATGAGGGCTTTATCCAATCAACCCGGAACGACCGAAGTCACGGCTGCCACACAGTCATGACCTACTACCCGAGGAAATTGAAACAGCTGCTACTTCAGTTGTCATAGAACATCTAAAAGAAATGTGGGGGCTATCGGCTTCAGATGAGCGCAGAAGACGTAAACGATGTAATGTTCCAGCAGGCCTAGGCATCACAGCACGAGACATTGAGCAAACGAAACCTAAAAAACCAAATAAAATGACAGATAATGAGTTTGTAAATAGTGAAGTTGAAGTTTCTTCATCTGACTCGTCTGAAATAATAGATATTTCAACATTTGATATTCTAGAGCCAGGTCCGTCCAAGTCAATAATCCAAACAAAAAGTACGAAGAAAAATAAAATGTATGAAAAAGAATCTAATATACATAAGAACACCAAGAAAGGTAAAGGTATTGGAAAAATGAGCAAAATTGGAAAAGAAAATCAAGATAAGGACATGAAACGCAAAGAAAACGGGAAAAAGAAATGTTTTGAAGAAAAAACCCATGATAATGCACTGAAACAAAATAATAAAGATAAAAAGAAATTGCAGAAAAATTTCAAGAGGCTCTACTACTTCTGAGTCACAAACCATAAGTATATATGAAGATTCTGATTGTATTGACGAAAACTTTGATATTGATAGAGATATGGATTTTAGAAATATGAATCGTTGTTCCTCGGGTCCAGTCACATTGACAGAAAATCAAGAGATAGTCCAATCTTCTGACAACATAGAATCAAAAACACACAAGGAGTTAAGCACACTCGAAACTATAGAACAAATAATCCAAACTTCTGACAACATAGAACCAGGAATTACAAAGGAGTTTTAGAACAACCGAAAATTTAGAAAACTTTAAAATAACTACACCTTCTGACATAATAGAACCAGACATGACAACAAATAAAACAAGCTCAATCAGCATTCCAGAAAATCAAGGGTTTGCCCAATATTGTAACAACAGAGAGAAAGATACAACAACGACCAATGAGACTCAACAAAACCGAGACACGAGTGAATTTTATGACAACAAAGAAGCAAAAGTTACTACCAAAGAGAAATTACCAACAGAAAGCACTGACAATACTATATCGAACCAAGAGACAAAACAATCAGAAGAAGATATCAAGACCAATTTTAACAACCATGATTCAGAAAGTAGAAACACAGAACAAGAAAAAGAATATGAATTGAATGACCACGTAATTGTAAGATACATCAACAAAAAGAAATGGAAATATTATATAGGTATCATAGAAAACATAAACATGGAAAATGAAGAACCTTGTACTATTAGATTTTATAAAACAGCTAAAAAACCGTCGTTACGGTTCCTTTTGACACGAAAGCTTGACAGGGACATAGTTCCCTCTATATGTATTGTCAAGAAAGTCAATTTGATACAAAAACCAAATTATTCAAAGGAGTTCTTTCTGTCCTTGGCTGACGATGATGTCGTGGAATTATTTACGTAAGTGCATGCTGATAGTCTTAAAGGATTGTAGGTAGGCCATTGGTTGAAATCAATGGATAAAATTCACTAACTGACGCTGTCATAATTATGTCAGTTGTTCCATATATTTTTTAAATATTATTTTGTACTTGTAGTAATTGGTAAGCCTAAAGTTTTCATACATTGTAAGAATTAACTCAACACAAATATTTAAAATCATGACAGTTTGACATTGGGACTTTGGGACCAATTCACAGGCACAAAACTTATTTGACAGGACTAAAGTTGTTTTAAACAATCTTTCTTTTTCTTATTATGGATAAGAGAAGGATATAACCCTTTAAATAATTTTAGTCTTGTCAAATAAGTTGTGTGCCTATGAAATAGCCCAACTCTAGAGAGATTTATTATAGTAGACGTTTTCTTTAACACTTAAGTATAAGATTTCAGGATTTGATTTGTGAGTTCATTCTTCGCGATCGCTAAATTTTGTAAGTTTATATTGTGATAATTTGATTTGTTACCTAAAATACACACAATGTTAATTAAACTGGGTTTTGTTTTCGAAAACTATACATGTGCGATTGGTTTATTCAATAATTGACAATCCTTGTTCCATATTTCGTAAAAGTAAACTTTTAAATGCGCTGTAATAAAAATATTAAAATTGCTTAAATATCTCGGTTTGATAAAAATAACGATAATTCGAGTTGTCAAATTATTATATTAGACCATTAGAACAAGTTTATACCTATAGTGATGATATCATTTAGCAAAAAATAAGTGGAATACTTCGCCTTAAGCCTTATCTACTGTTCCAAATATCCAATGCGTATAAAACGGTATTATTTGAGAAATACATCGTAACAACACTCACGGAATTTTCATTTCCAAAAAACCCCATGAGGGGTATATTTGGAACAAAACCTTAAAAAATATATATCTCGGTAACAATCGGTCCTATTGAGACAGCCACTATCAGACCTATCTGACTAGGGTTTTTCCATAAGTGTTTAGAATATTACGCAATTATTTATATTACGTTAACAAACAAACGTTTTCGTCTCAAAAATGTACCAAACATCCCCATTTTACGGTATTTATTGTTTTTGGTATTCACTAGATCGTACTTTAACTAAATATGTGTAATATACGCGACCTTCTTTAAAAACTCAAACATAATAACATTACATAGAACAATTTATTTTTATTAGTTAACGTGACTTAGTGTTACTAAGGGAAAAGAGGAGTAAAAGCTGTTCTAATTTTGCTTGAACTGTTTAACAATTCTCCAATCAGATCTATACGATAGTCGCGATAACAATTACATAATTACAATTAAAACAACAGTTTAACTCGTTGCTTTATACTGGTTAAGCTATTTGTTCTAATGCAATTTCTTCACGTTTTTCAAATGACATTGATTAGAAAACGGAAGATACGGTACTTAGCCGCAAAATTTGGACCAAGAAAACTGCGTCTACCTTTTTTTTTATAGAATAATGGTGACAATCGAGCAGTCCACCTGATGGATGGTAAGTGGATGCTGTGGTCGACAGACGCAGCGGATATTTATCCTCAAATTAAGATAAAAATGCAGATGCGTTGTCACCCGTGAGGACTAAGATGGAAAGCCTCGTTTCCAGTAAAAAGGGTCTCCGGTTCTCTAAACTCACCATACGAAACACATCAGCATTGAGGTGCTATTTTACGCTGGTATGGTATTTAAACCAGTCGAGACAACCCATTCGTGCTACAGCCATAATATAGCTGCAGTTAGGCTCAACCACGTAATAACTGACGCACTATCATTTTGTTGCGGTCGGCGCTATCGTTTCGAGCGCGTTATTGCGTCCTACAGACGTCTTATTTCTGTCTTTTATAGGTATATCTACGTATTTCAGTTTTTGATTAAATAATGTTCGGGCATTCCACATATTCTTTTTGTTCACTATTAATGCTTTAGCCACTGAACTTTTAAATACATAAGAACATTTTTAATGATTTATTCTGCTTGTAATAAGGTTTTTCCATATTTGATAATTATCTCTACGTTTGGTGGTACATTTTTATAAACTTTAGAAGGACCTTTAGCTTATACTTACGAGGTCACTTATCATTTTGAAATAGAACACATACTCGTAGATCATTAAAAAAAGAGGCAGCAGCCACAGGGCCATTACGTAGAAGGACCTTCAGCTTACAAGGTCACTTACCAGGTGGAAACGAGAGATGACAAAGGATATTTGATGTTTAAACGAGGATAGATGTAGGAGTCTATGGATTACAGCATCCAGTTGTTACCAGGTCGACTGTGTGTTCGTTTGGCAACAGATTTCCAAGTCCAGTAATTCATCAAAGTCATCCCTAATAGCAAGAAGTAACTAAAAACTTTTTGTTAAATATTTATGTATGAATCAAACACTGTGAATTTTTAAAGAAGGTGCACTGACCAAATTGACTCGATATAAATGCAGTAGGAAGCTGTGAAGGTTACAATATCACAATGTCACAAGGATTAACAATTCATCTCCGTAGATCTATCATTTCTACCGGCGCGGTCTTGTCGAGCTCTATGTGTGTGGCGTTCTGTAATTACAAATAAAACATTTTTTTTTAAGAGAACACATATCTCAAATTACTCATTATGATCCACTTATCTCTACCCATTAGCTCAGATGGTTAACGCTCGCCGTAAATATAACAGAACGCGAGTAACCCGGGTTCGATCCCCGCCGACACCAATGAAATTGTTAATTGCAATTTTAAGTGCTGATTTACCACAAGGTCGGCGGTGAAGGAAAAAATCGTGAGGAAACCTGCATGTCTGAGGAATAAGGAAAAAATTTTCGAAGACATGTGAAGTTCGCCAACACGCATTGTGGCAGCGCGGCGGACACTTCCTTGCCCTAAAACCCTCTCAGAAATGAGGGGAGGCCTGTGCCCAGCAGTGGGACGTATATAGGCTGTAACTTTACTTTTAACTTTTATTTACCCATTAGGGCATATAAAAGTCCACTTCTGACTACAGGCCTCCCCCATAGTTGCCTTATAGGAGTAGTTTTGCCATAATCGCAACGCTTGGCATCTGCAATTTTTTTATATGTTGAGTTGATATCAGTAAGATGCTGCGACCCATCTCCTGTTTCAATTCCCTGTCGCCTCCTACGGCGATATGGAGCAGTGGATATGCCTACGCCTCCACTACGCGGTTCATTCATTCATTATGTTGTCTTTTCTTCTTTACGTAAATACATATTTTATAAACAGCTAACACTTTATTAACTTTTATTATTCAAACTACCTGCTTCTAGGCAAGATTGTGTGTGACTTCATAAGGTTAACAGAATTAATAAAACACAAAATACATGAATTTAATACACAGCATTTGATAAATAGCTTAATAGCAATCACGTGGCTTTTATCATCTACATATGTTAAAATCACTTACATAAAACAATGGAGGGTCGTTGGGATGTGGATGAAAACCACTCTGTCTGCAATTAGAGATGAATTGCATTCCGTATTCAGGTGTCAACGCAAAATAACCAATTCTGAAAAAGAATATAATCAAAATTTTGACTAAACCATTGCTAAGGCACAAGTCACTACTACAGTCGACACTAAGGGTATGTTCCGAAATACAACGCAGTGTACTGTCCAATGCAAATGACGTATCATTTGACACTTTATTGTACTAGCGTGCCGCCGCCATATTGTGTCGGATATCCGGCCATAATAAAACAATTTTTAATTGTGTGTTTGCCGAATGAAGCATGCCAGAATTTGTTTCTATTTATTCAAATACAAAAAATTATAGAATAATTGATGGTATATCCATTAGGAGATATAAAGATTTTTGGAGCACAAAATGACAAAATAAACGCCAACACTTTTCCAAATGGCGCAAAAGTATAACGTCATATACTGTCCAATGTTTTGGAACGAATCACCAGTATAGGTTCGATTCATGACGTCATTTGCATTGGACAGTACACTGCGTTGTATTTCGGAACATACCCTAAATAAACGATAGTAAAAGCTCACAAAGTTAACTTTTCCTCTCGGCTACAAAATGTACAAATTAATCCATAAACACTCACGCCTGTCACCCAGAGGGGTAGGCAGAGACTACAGATTTCCATTTGGCACGATCCTGACACACCTCTCTCGCCTCCTTCACATCCATACACTTACGCATACATGCTCGTCGGTTAAGGGTACTCCTAATTTGGCCCGTTTCCAATAAATCTCCAATTTGGTCGATAAATTTTCGCCTAGGACGTCCCTTTCCAACTCTGCCATTCACTTCTGCAACATAAATTTTCTTTGTCACTCTTTCCTCATTCATTCTTTCCACATGACCAAACCACGGAAGCATTCCTTTCTTAATTCTGGTCACAACATCATCTTGCAAACCACACTCTTCTCTTATTATACAATTTCTTACCCTGTCATTCAGGTTCAGCCCTAACATACTCCTTAACGACCGCATTTCTACTGCGTTTATTCTACTCTCGTGCTTCTTCTGCCACACCCAACTTTCACTACCATACGTTAAAGTAGGGACCAACACAGCATTGTGAATTGCCATACGTGCCTTTTTCGACACATTTTGACTCTTCACAATAGAGTGCAAGGCCCCATTTACTCTATTTCCCACATTCACTCGTCGTTCTATATCCTTATCATATCTCCCATCCCTGCTAAATACGCAGCCCAAATATACAAACTCATCTACTTGCTCGATCAACTCCCCTTCTATTCTTATTTCACAAATCGTTTTACTTTCTTCTCTTTCAAAAACCATAACCTTCGTCTTACTTGCGTTCACTTTCATACCCCTTTCTTTTAATGATCCGTTCATTAATGTAACCATCATTTGCAACTCGGCCGCCGACGACGCAAGAATAACTTGATCATCGGCGTACAAAAGGCATTTGACGGTTAACTCACCCATTCTTAATCCGCATTCTTCAACTTTCAAATTTTGCAAACAACTGTCCATAAATAGGTTGAACA